TGCCTATTCCACTTTCTTATACCATCCAGGACCATCCTCAGGGATGTCACCACCCACAGTGATCTGGGTCTCCCCACATCTAGCTGTATTTCTTAAATATCATCATCTTGCTTTAAGCATGCAGCATAGTAGAGTCACTGCACAGAGTAGTTTACAGCAGGTGTGAAGTGGACAATGGTCATGTCTGAACCATGTTCCTGAGGACCCTTCTTTGTGTACTGGTGTTTAAGGAAGTGAAGTCCTGTGCCTTCAGACCTCTGTTACCATTGCCAGATGAAATGCACTACACTAGTGTCACCACTGTCCCATACCATCTCTACTCTGACATGCTTCCTAACTGACCCAGCATAATTTAAACATGAAGCATAAGGTACCTTATCTGTTTAGATAGTATGGTTTTGATCAATATTAGTAATTGGAGTAGCAATAGGAACTGTGATGAAGAACGAGTCAGAAGTTATAATCTGATTCTTGCAGTTTCTGAAACATTTAGCAACCCAACAGATGGAGGTTTCCTATGAAACATAAATATTTATTAATATGAACATGACTTAAGGAATTTAGAAATCCTAATCTAGAAGTCTCTAATGTTTGACTTAAAGTCCACTTAGAAATTTTGGTTCAACATTGAATCTAATAACTCAATCTACATATAGCAGTACTAAATGCCTAGTGACATAATGTGCTTAAGATAAATGATCTAGGATTAGTACTAACCTTTTAAGAATTTGTGTTAAAAACAGATACTGTGAGAGCTGGGCAGTAGTGGTGCATGCCTTTAATCCCAGCACTCAGCTATATACACCATGGGTCTGACATGCATGTTAAATTAGAATTCTATCCCCAAAGCACCTCATGTCATCTCTCCAGTCTTTGGCCTTGGGTTTTTAATTCATCCATAGTCACATAGAATACTAGCCCTAATCTCAGAAATATAAACCCTTGAATACAAGGGAAAGAAGGGCAAACTTCCCACTTATTAGTTACTTATTGGCTCAAAATAATGACAAATTCTTCTCCCAGGTTATCTCATTTAAATTCAGCCAGAAGCAGTTGGTTTGCCCCATACCCTTCATGCTACTGCTGAAATCATGGGCCTGTCTTTGCCAGGCTGGTTGTTACTATAGTTCACGGGTGACTGTGATATCTTACAATTAATAAACAAGTGAAGGACTCCTAGATTTACAGATGAGTAAGGTCAAACCTTATACATTTAAGTTTTCCAAAGCTTCCTGGAAAAAAGCGTGTTTGGGGTGAGCTTTGAGGAGCATCTGCTACTCCATGGACTGAGAGTTGAACTTGAGGAACCATTCAGTTCCTCTTCCTTTTCTTCAGTGCTTGTGCGCTCTCTCTCTCTCTCTCTCTCTCTCTCTCTCTCTCTCTCTCTCTCTCTCTCTCTCTCTCTCTCTCTCATAGTCTGTTACAAGCCTTTGAAAGTGGAGGCAGATGAACCACCAGGAGAGGAGAAATAACCCTCTCAGAAAATAAGTTCCTCTTATTTTCTCAACTGTGTGGTTATACTTTACTGGTTAGGATCTCAGTTCTACTTCCACCTGTCTATTCAACTTTGGGGATTTAGTTTCTGTGGGTTTCAGTTCTCTGAAATACAAAATAAGGATAATATATGTATGCTTTACAAGGCTTATCTGTGGATTCATGAGATTAGATATGTCGGCAGAGTGCCTGGTGCATAAGTACTCACTGACAAGTTATAGCCATGATTAACAACACATTAACTATTATTTAGCAAGATAGAGATGGCCAGATACATGTAGACGTAATGATAGACGCTTGTCTACAACATCAGAACATTTATAGTGGTTCAGAGTCTCAGAGTTTGCACTTGAAACTGGTCCCCAAAATAAACACAAAAGTAGGGTGATTGTTCTCGTGTTGCAGGGACAGTACTGGCCAAACCTTTGGCAGTTATTTGGTATAGCTATTTGGTATACATACTACATACTTACATACATGCATACAGTCATCCTGTAGTGTTGATTTCTATTCCCTTCAAGGCCTAGTTGCTACCCAGGCTGTAATTAACTCAACTTGTCTTGATTAATAGAAAAAAATAAGAAAAACAGTGGAACTCTGCTGAGTCTTTAATAAACTTTATCTCTAGACAAAATATTCACTTTACCTGGTCATTCATTTTTCTGGGCAAGTATACTCTTTTTGTGCAGAGTTGAATTTTAGTTATTTTAGCTGAAACACAAGGGTTGATATGAACGTAATAGGAACTTGACCAAAATATTTAAGAAAAACAGTACCAAACAAACCCATCATTCAGATTACACCTGTAATTGTTTTCTTTAACTTAGGAACTTTGCTTTATACATTGTTGAAAAATTAAATACCGTTATGTTTGCCTTTGGGGTCTAATTTTTTTTTTAAACTGATGCCTACTGAGGACTGGGTTAACATGACTTTCAGCTGAACGTATCCAAGGACTTGTTGCCCTTATGTTTCCTGTCGTCACAGGACAGTCTAGGCCTGAGCCGAAGAATCATTTGTTAGGCAGGAAGGCATTTTCCAGTGTGTCTCCTCTCAGTAGTGTCGTTTTATAATCCATCCATCATCTAAGTCTGAATTTGTAAAACTGGGCCATGTATTTGAGTAAATGTTACTGTCTCCCTTTGTCATTTGCTTAAATTTCTTTTACTACAAAGGATCTGGGAATATAGTTTGGTTGACTAGCATGCCTGAGGCCCTGGATTACATTTCCATTACTATAAAAAAATTAAAGTGACTGTTTGTAGACTCAAGAAAATAGAGATAACTGGCGCTCAGCCATGGAGCTGGAGAGATGGCTCAGGGTACTTTCTGTGCAAACGTGAGAACCTGAGTTTGGATCCCAGCACCCACATAGGACCACAGTGTGGCAGTGTCTGGGCAAAGGATAGAGGCAGGCAGTACCCTGGCCCTCATTAAGCTCCTTGGCCAAATCAGTGAGCTCCACATTCAGTGAGCGACATTATCTCAGAAAAGGAAGGTGCTAGACCTCACCAACCGCAACAGCCAGTGTTGGTCTTTCCCTTTACAGGTACACACACGCCAGTTATTGCTTCCAATGTCTTAATATAATTTAAGGATGTCTCATATATTAATTAAATTAGAATTGTCAATGGAATACCTCCTATATTTTATGAAAACTGAGATAATATGCATTTAGTGGTAAGTTGATTGAATTTCTGCTTTGGTTTGGTTTGAGTCTAAAGCTCAAACCCAAGTCCTTGCACAGTCCAAACACATGGCTTCTGCTGCAAAGCCACAGCTTCGAGCCCCCAATTAGTTTAAATATAAGACTGCAGATTCATGGTAAGAGTCATTTTATAGCCAGCACAAGGAAATAGATGGGAGATGGTCAAGAAGCCAGGTGGGAAAGCCTGAACCGGGGTATGATGACGCATGCCGTTCGTCCCAGCACTTGGGAGGCAGAGACAGGCAGATCTCAGTAAACTGAAGGTTAGCCTGGTCTATACAGCAAGTTCTAGAATAGCCAGGGCTATATAATGATTTCATGTCCTGTAGGGGGCAATAGACTGAATTTCTCATAGCTCCTTAAGGAACTGTAGTCATTGCTCTTGAGTGATTAGAACTGGGTTGGAGTCTCAGCCAGCAACCCCTTTTTTCAAATGTACCAGGGTCTGGTAAACACACCCACATTGCCCCTAGGCTCTGTGCAACTAAGGGATTATTCTTACCTCCCTTCCTCTGATCTCAAACTCTGAACAGAGTTCAGACTATTGAGACTAGAAAACTAGCATGTTGGTGTTATTAATTGTGTAGGTCTACAACCTAATAGACACAGTGCAGAAAAAACTACTCTAGAGGATATAAGCAATGCCACATGCATGCTTTCTATTCTGGGTGAAAATGCAACACTTAAATTCCTTTCTTTCTCATCGAAATATGTAGCCATTTTGTCCATCTTTAATAAAAGTGGATTTTAGTTAGCCAGCCATCACAATGCACAAATAAGAAGGCTCGATTCATCTCAGAGCAGCTCATGCCTCACGTGATGCACAAAGAAAGACATGGGCTGGCCTTTCACAATTTACTTGGCAGTAGAGTTTTTTGCTTGGTTGGTTTTGATCTTAAATGAAAACCTGGTACTGTGTGCCAATTTTCCTCTGCCTTTAATGATGATTCATTACCTTCCTACATAATTTTTTTTTTCTTTACTTGAGCCAGCAAGAAAAATCTTGCAGGAGAGGAGGGGGAAACAGTGAGTTGAGGAACACAGTACTTAAATACTGTTACTGGGTTTTCATTGGCTGTCTCCTCTCTTACTGCAACCAGTCTACTGCTTCCTCCTGCAAATCCCTCCCTCCCCACCCCCTCCTGCAAGTGAGTTCTCCGGGTGTCTGTTGCTAGCGACTGACTGCAGGCTGTATGTAGGCATCTCTCATTCAGAATGGACATTGATGTACTGAGCAGAGAAGAAAGCTTTCAGCGATGTTCCGTTTGTCACGGTTGTCTGGCTTTTTAAAGGACTCCCAGAGAGAGATACTGCAGGTTCTGTATGGTAGCACAGACTGATTTCCTCTCCAGACTCTTTAAGTTTTCAGAAGCTTAAATATAGAGCCCTGTTTTAAAAAAAGGAAGAGAGAATTTGCGTGTGTTAATCGGCCTTGTGAAGAAGTGCTTCATCACCCTCCCGCACCTCCCCGTGCTCTGGCGTGTGGTGTGGCCGTGACTCTCTAGGTTAGGATTCTGAACTGGCTGCAGCAATGTTCGTGTGTTAGCTGAGTAGAGTTCTCCGACAGTCGCAGGGTGCTTGCTACAAGGTTGTTTTTGTTTTTTTCCTTCCTTTGAATTTCAAAATGCCATCCAAAGAGTCTTGGTCGGGGAGGAAAACTAACAGAGCTACAGTTCACAAACCAAAACAAGAGGGCCGTCAGCAAGGTTTATTGATAGCAGCATTGGGAATGAAACTGGGTTCTCAAAAGTCGTCTGTGACAATCTGGCAACCTCTGAAACTCTTTGCTTATTCGCAGTTGACATCACTTGTTAGAAGAGCGACTCTGAAAGAAAATGAACAAATTCCAAAATATGAAAAGGTTCACAATTTCAAGGTAAGAATGCTTGTTTCTGACCCTTTTCCTATAAGGAGTACTCAGTACTTGGAAGATGTGGTGTTAAAGGCTCATCTTCCAAAGCCTTTGAAAAATTGCATGATTTGACTGCAGTGGTATTGCTATTCAAGGAAAGCGATGTCTAAATTCCAATTTTATTTAAGGAAGAGGTGAATAAAGCTCATAACAATCCAGCCCCATTTTTCTCAGATGCTGTAGTAATGTTCCCTTTAATTACTGTGTATACACTGGTAAGTCTTGATTGGTATTATAAAGGTCTCCGAATCATGAGTTAGGCATTGCATATATCTGTGTTGCAGTATGTCTAAATACCTTTTTGGCGATTTCAGGGGGGATTAGATCTTACATGTTCGGTTCTGGTCAAAGGCTTTGCTGTAGCAGGCATGTGCAGTTGCATCTGGAGTGAGCAGATGGTGTGCCTTTCCCATAGTCTCTGTCTTTTCTCCTCCCTGCATTAATAAACTGACCACGATAAAAGGAAAATTGCTGCCCTGCAACCATAGAGGCTGTGAATGACAGCTTCCCTTCACTTTCACAGGGTTGACTTTCACCTTTGTTTTTAATTACTGCTGTGGCATGTTTTATGCAGTGTACCCGAATCTTCTTTTATGAAGGTGATATGTCTGATGGTCTGAGCTGTGTCCAGATCTTGCCTGTACTTACTGCATGGTATAAGGCCTTGAAGTTGTGCCCTTTGCATTCTAGTTCAGGGGGTTTGCAAAGTGAAATCATGTGAGGAGACCCAGTTACACTTCACAGGCAGATGAGCCAGCATTTCTGTGGTAACTTCCTAATAGTTAAAAGTTGTCTAAGGCTCAAGAATATTCCGTTTAGACAGAAAATCATTCATGCTGATGTTAGAATGGGAATAATTGTTTACAAAAAGATGTTAGAGCTTGAAATTTTTGTCTTTGATCTGTTAATATATTCAATCTTTTAAATATTTATTTGTCATATCAGAGGCACCAGGCTCTCTATCAAGTGACTTCATCCCAGCTTTATAAACCACCCTGATTTTTAACACCAGCATTTATTTTGCTCATGCTAAAAAACAAAAACACTATGCCACAGTGTACCCTACATTTTCTATAGTGAGGAATAGATTGCAGTCTTCATACCTTTTGGGGTTAATAATATGAACCTTACTTTTCAACTGGCATTTTTGCTTTAAAATGGAGTTGAGACAGCTCAGCAGATCAAACCTTGACAGGAGATGGAAATCATGTGCACACCCAGTCTTAGCCACATTGTAAACCAACTTAGCCTCTTATGATTCAGAACTAAACAAACAAACAAATGCGCAGGCTGCCGGACTTTGGTGATTTATAGCCTGGTCTTGCAGGACTTTTACAAGGAAAATGGGCCCCTAAAATGGCTATTAAGTTTGTAAGCAAGAATCACCTGCATGATCTAGAAATTCTGGGACTTCCAAAGCATCTTTACAGAGGTGCAGTCTAGTTTACTAGGCAAAACAGGCCTGTGAGATTGTCATTTTAGTGCTAAGTCGGTTTCTGTAAATATTTTTTGTCATTATTGTTTGGAAGTAAACAAGTCTATTGAAAAATTTGCATGAACAAGCATATCCTTTCCCCTCTCCTGCAGATCATATCTTTTAGTTCTTTTCACATAGCTTTATAAGAAGTGAGTCCTGTGTGTGCTGTGTGATCAAGTGTGACCCTCGCACCCAGGTTACTATAAAGACCCCACCACACACACAACTGGAGACAGAACCTAGCGCCTTGCATGTGCTGGGCAAGCAGTGCAAACTCTGCCCCTTCACTCAGTGTCCTTCTTTCTGTTTATTTGGGTTTCTTCTGTTTTAAGCACATAAAACACGGGAGATTTCTCTCTCTGGAGTGGAAGCTGAGGCCCAACTGAGACTTGCTCTCCAACGCTGTTCTTCGTCAAGAAGAGCCTCCTGGGAGACAGGGAAACATGGCACATAGTGTTTAGAATCTCTAAGGTCAGGAGTCTCAGAATCCAACTCTTCCTGTTATAAATAGCGCCATTATTTTTAAAATGTGCCTGTGGAGTAACATTATTAAAAAGAAAAGAAAAGAGAAAGGGTCATACTTGACTTCAGAGAATATCCCTGAAAGGATTCCAGCCCCCAGCAGGAGTTCACTCCCACACAGATGCTGGCTTAGAAGGGCACTGCTTGTACACATATGCAGTCAGGTCTGCTGTGGGAAAGCTGGAGTGTTTCCATGATGATTGTCAGTCATGTGACCTGCCGGTGGCTCTCTCTCTCAGTGGAGTGTATTCAGAGTAACTTCGCCCTCACCAAAGCCTCCGTTCAGGGTGCCTCTTGAGCTCCTGTTATGTAATGCTGCCTGGTGCTGTGTGCAGCTGTCAGCCCTTCTTTGGGGGTGAACCCAAGACACCCGTTACCTTTGGTGAAAGCATTCAGCAAGGCAGAAGCCGTTCGGAGCAGCTGACCCTGTGATTAGAGATTTGTAGGAGAAAAATTGTGCTGTTACGTAACACTTTCTCCTTTTCTGCTTCCACCTCTCCCTCACCTCCTCTTCCCTCCCCTCACCTCTGTTGTTACTTACATCATAGAAAGGCTACTGTATCTTAGGTTATCATTTGAGAAATAAATATACCACATTCTGTGAAAGCTATAATAAGATGTCAATATTAATTTTAGCATAATTCCAAAAATGCTAGAGGAAGGGATTCTGGATATTTTTACCAAAAAGTGAAATAAAATAAATGTTGCAGGAGACACGTTTATCCCAACTTGAGCATTAGATGTATCCATGTATGATAACATCACATATTACCCCATAGTTTTTATTTTTTATAGTTCACACATAAATTTGTACATATATATTAGGTACCATGTGATGTTTCAATATGTATATATGCTTTATTTTAATTAACATAAAATTGTATTTTTAACTAATCAACTTCTTTTAAGAATTACTCTATTCTGAGTTGGTGAGATGGATTCTGTAGGTAAAGGTACTTCCATGACTCCTGGCTGAAGGATTTTATCTCTAGGACCTACATAGTGGAAGGAGAGAACCAACTCCCCATAGTACCTATGCACCCAGAAACACACCCTAAATAAAGCGAATTTTTAAAATTTTTAAAGAGTTTTTCTCTGTTCTAATAATCACATATGGAAAAAAACAAAAAAATATCAAAAGCAAAACAGAAACAGCTAGCTTCCCCACCTCCTCATCATTGTAGCCTACTTTCCAGACTCTGGGAAGGACACTGAGCACTGAGACTCGGCCTTTGCCCTGGGGCATTGCTTGTGATGTGTACCATTGCTTATGTGGCCTGAATGCTTAATGTCTCTAACCTTTTTCTGTAGTAGGAAACTTAAGTTCCTGGCCCACTGGGTTCATGGGAGTCACTACTTTATTATGACATATTACCTTTGACTGGGCATTTTTTTCTGGATTTGTATTAATTTGTACAGAAGAGTGACTGAGTCTCACCTTCTACCTACTAGCAGAGATTACAGTGTGGTAGAGAGCCTTGGATGATCCTGGGGGCGCCCACTCAGCTCCCAGGCAGAGTGGGGTTTACATAAGAATATCAGAGTGTTTCATGTACCACAGTGTACAATGAAATCCTCTTAATTTTTTATTTCCTTCCAGTTGAGTTATAAAATGTTTTGTCTAATTAGTTGCTTAATTCAAAAGGTTGTATAACACAAAAATCAAGAAGAGATAGAATAGTAACAGAAATCTGGCTACCTGGGCAACTTAACTACTTAAAAGAAAAACATATTAGCAGTTATAAAGCTAGGGCATAGCTTAGTGGTAGAGCACTTGCCCAGCATGTGCAAGACCCAGAACCTAATCCCTAGCTCTGCACAGAGAATTTACAGTGAATATGCACTTTATGATGACTTTGGTGTATTTGTTAAGGTAAGTGGTTGATTTTAGTTCCATGTACTACTTGCCTTCTGCATGCAGATGGGAAATGTCAGGTATTTAGTGACAGATTTAGTGTTGCCATGTACAGACATGAGTCCCAAAGTGTGAATTGGTGATCTAATTCAGATAATCCCATAGCAGGAGCCTTATGCAATAAGGTTAGTGATTCAGGACCTGCTAGATGAAGAAATAGCAAGCACATGGCCAGCAGACAGCGTCCTGCCGCTTGGTAACCAAAGGGCAACAGTGGCCACACTCTCGCTGAAGAGGCCTTTCCTCTTCCTCCTAGGACACAGCACAGATCCAGGCCCTCTGCTCTTCCATTTGATCCATATCTAAGAGTTTGGTTTCTTTCACTACAGTGAATGTTACATTCAGTGATTGTGCATTCCCATTCCCTTGTGCTGTGCCCACTAACCATGCCACCACCCTCTCCTTCTCCCTGTTCTTCTTTCCCTTTTTACCACATGGAGTAAAGTGCTGTCAACTGTACGTGTGTAAGAAGTGTTGACTGAATGACCGACTGAGTGAGTACATAGTGCGACATCGTGGACCTGTTATTTTCAAAGCAATTCTTATGATGGCAAGAAAACCCAACAAAAAAAAATTATTCTGAGGACCTGTATTGTTTTATATAGCCATATTTACATATTTTTAAAAATGAAGCAAAAATCATGTTTTAATCTCTGTGCCCTTTTTTTTTTCAATTTTGTGATAGAATGTAACTGTATAGCCCAGCCTGACCTGGAACTAATTATGTAGCCCAGGCTGGCCTCAAACTCCAGCTCCTCCTGCCTCATCTTCATTAGTGTGATTAGCCTGAAGTGTCTCGTTAATTTTTTGCAGTAATGTACTGTCCATTATGGACATGAACATGGAGTATCCCACGTGAGATTTTAAAGGAATAGCTTTTCTGTAAACAAGAGGTTAAAGGAACTGTAATGTGTATTTTATCTTAAGCACACTCCCCCTCTCCTCACTTTGAATGTGGGCCAAAGACGACAAAAATAGCCAAGATTAGTGCATACTAGGGTTCTTTCTGCCTCTACAGTCAGACAGGGAAAGACTGATGAGCAGAAACTA